TAAAAATCTATAGTATCTCTTCTTATGTAGTTCAGATGTTCTTTCCAAATCCTGCATCTTGAGCGCAAATTATTTACTTTTCCTTTACTGCTTGACTTTGTGAGATATCATTATGCCATTCTGCTTTTCTTTATCAAAAGAAACGAGAGGCGCATTTGATTCAAATACGTATATACTTCTCCACTTCTGCTTGCTCTTTCCTTAAACGGTAAATCCATGAATTATGCTTGCATTTCTTCAGCATCCCTGGGGGTCATGACTTCAATCGTTTTTAAACATTATTTTGCTTATGTTTTAAATACCTATCCTTCGTTTTCCGCTTATGGCTTTTTTCAGGACCCATTTTCATAAGATATTTTTGATCTTGTATTGCTACTATCACCCTGTATACCTAGAACTTTAATTCTACTTACTAGAGACATGTTTCCTTCAAAAACGCAATGACACCACATTGCTTTTGCAAATGCAAATTTTATCGGTCAATGCGACAGTGCATTGCGCAGTCAAGTGCGGCTTTGAACCATTAGTGACTAAGCTGACGGTTCCGAAACACACAAAAACACTAATTCGAATCCACTGACACGTTAAGAGGATTACGATACCGATTGCACGTTTTTTCCTTCAAGTATCATAAATAGACTTATGCTACAGTCGTTGTGTGGTTCATACTCAAGAAAAATTTCAAACAAACACTTTTGAAGAAAATCTTTAGACTTCATGGCATGTTAGCCCCGTTGTCATTTTTCGCCATTAAAACGTAATATCAAACATCTGTGCCGCAGAAAAATATGAACACGGAACACAAAAGTTAATCAGTAGATGTCCCTTGGGCCACTTTTAATACATACGTATGTAAAAAATCCAGCGCTACGAGTAGATTCTGTTTTTTCACATTTTTTTTTTTTATCAAAATCAAACTTTTAAGCTGACTATTGAAATGTAGGACTATGTGTAAACAAAGCCAATAAATGGTGCTTGTTAATTAAAAATTACAACTTTTATTTATACAAATATCTTATTTTTATCAATATATGTGCCGCAAAACTCAAATTTTTAATGGTTTTCAACTTGGTTTCATCAAAATTTTATAATCTACAGCTTAAAATAAATGAAATTAAGATGTTATTGGGACTCAAAATTCCAAGGTCAGATTCAATTTTTTATTTCCATGTACGCTAGTAAGTGTACTGCTGTATGTTATACTCAGAAATTGTTTCGCAGAAAATGAAAATGTTATGCGCCATATTTGATTTTTCCAGTAATTTTACTTCCTACGCTCCTGAGCGAGGAAGTATTGCATCGTGAAAAATTTCGAAAATGAGATATTATGAGATATTACACCTATAACTTGGGAAGATTTCAACATAACCAGTTTAATAGTTTGTAACGGTTTTTTTAGAGGTATAGAACTTTAAATTGCAACAACAACAACAAAAATGGATTATTCCAATGACTTTACATAGCCCTACAGAAAATAGTCTAGCGGTGTTAAATCACAAGATCTTGGAGGCCAATTCACAGGTCCAAAACGTGAAATTAGGCGGTCACCAAACGTGTCTTTCAATAAATTAATTGTAGCACGATCTGTGTGAGATGTTGCGCCGTCTTGTTGGAACCACAGCTCCTGGACATCATGATTGTTCAATTCAGGAATGAAAAAGTTAGTAATCATGGCTCTATACCGATCACCATTGACTGTAAAGTTCTGGCAATTATCTTTTTTGAAGAAGTACGGACCAATGATTCCACCAGCCCATAAAGCGCACCAAACAGTCAGTTTTTCTGGATGTAACGGTGTTTCGACATAGACTTGAGGATTAGCTTCACTCCAAATGCGGCAGTTTTGTTTGTTGACGTAGCCACTCAACCAGAAGTGCGCTTCATCGCTAAACAAAATTCGCTTATGCAAATTGGGAACAACGGCAATCTCATTTTGGGCCCATTCAACGGATCTATCTGCGCCTTGCTGGATGATCGTTTGGCTTCAATTCTTGCACGAGTTGGATTTTGCAAGCACGCAAAGCAAGATCCTTCCGCAAAATGTTACATAAAGTGGATGGACACATCCAATTCCTGTGCTCGATGGCGGATGGACTCATTCGGGTCTTCTACAGTAGCAATAGCTTCTTCTGTACGCACCGTACAGCGTCTCTGGGGATGCGAGTTATCAATTAGAGTAAACGTGGTGCGAAAACCTTCCATGGTTAATCGAATTAACTGCTCTGACGGACGATTTTGTCGACGATAAAATGGACGTACAGCGCGATACGTATTCCGCACAGAACCATTATTTTCGAAATAAAACTGCACAATTTGCAAGCCTTGTTCAGACATGAGCCTATTCATGATGAATTGCCAAACCAAACTGAGAAGAAATCACTTGACAGCTGTCAAATCGGTCGCAATCTTGCCAACTTAAAGTTCTATACCTCTAAAAAAACACCCTTTACTATAACTACATTACTATAAGAATACCATAAGCGAGCTATCACTTAATTTGTAGTTGATGCCAAGTGACATAACAGAAGTAACAGAAAAGGAGCATGATAGACGCATAGCGGTACCAAACATGGAATCCATGAATGTTAATTTCTTAGTCAACCTGGGATTTGTTTTATTGTCAACAAAACGCTAAACCAAACCAAATGTGTTAATTCCTTGTATAATGTGCATTCTGCTTGAGGCCTTCTCTGTTTGAGGTATCCTGGTTGCAAATGTAAATGCTAATTATTGGGTTGAAGCCTTGTACTAACAGTGTATGCCTTGTAACAAAGTCTGACATGAGATGGAATCATTCCCCAAGTACACAATAATCTTTTACTCATTTTTCTCTAGAGTTGCTATTATTCATGGTGGCAGCAACACTTAACTTGTTTGACATATAGGTGTTTCTCTAAATGATGTGAGACCAACGAATTCCAATACATCAGAAATAGCCACACCTACATATTCACATTGCATTGATTCTCACCAAAACTGCTAGTTTTAGTAGCAAGCATTGCAAATTATACTAAGTGACATATAAATCCGAACACCCAGTTTAAATGGTTTTATTTTAATAAAAGTAGGGGGAATGTATTTATCTTACTGTAAATAACAAGTGAAAAAATTTTCAGCCTTATCAGTTGGACATTCCAGTTTTTATACTGCTTTTTTTTAATTCACTAACGCTCTAAAAATGAATATTTCAGCCGCAGTAAAGAATCAACGTTGGCGGATTTTGGTTCTTGACATCCTTTACGATCGGTTACGATGCCTAGAGTACGGAGACCTGTACGATTTCGTCCACTTAGTGAGTTTGATAGGGGCCGTATAGTGGGACTTCGGGAAGCTGGACTTTCTTTTCGGGCAATTGCAGTTAGAGTGCAAAGAAGTGTAGACACTGTGGTTAGGTGTTGTCAGGCATGGCTTCGAGAAGGCCGTACGCAAAGAGCAAGCGGCACTGGACGCCGCCGTAGAACAACAGACCGTGAAGATCGCCGCCTAAGATTATTGGCCTTAAGGGACCGTTTCTCCACTACCAGGTCCATTGCAAGTGAATGGTTTGCAGAACACGGAATACCTATTGGCATGCGAAGTGTTTACCGACGAATGAGAAGTTTTGGCTTGTTTTCATACCGGCCACACTGGGTCCTCCCTTTAAGTCGAGAACACCGACGTAATCGCCTTGAGTGGTGCAGACAACGGTCACTCGGGGATCAGGAATGGAACAGTATTGTCTTTAGTGACGAGTCTCGATTTTGTTTAGGCATGCACGATGGTCGTGCCAGGGTTAGAAGGCGACGTGGTGAAAGGAGGAATCCACTGTTTTTTGTTGAAAGACATGTTCATCACACTGTTGGAGTTATGGTTTGGGGTGCTATAGCTTATGGTTCCAGGTCACCTTTAATCTTCATCAGAGGTAACATGAACGCGCAGCGTTATATCCACGAAGTTCTAGAACCCCATCTTTTACCCTATCTTGACACCCTGGCAGATCCAACTTTCCAACAAGATAATGCCCGACCACATGTTGCAAGAGTCACAATAGACTTCTTTCAACATAATGATGTCACATTGTTACCATGGCCATCAAGATCTCCCGACTTATCCCCAATTGAGCACGTGTGGGATATGATGGGTAGGAGATTGCTCAATTTGCAACGTCCTCCTCAGACTCTAGGACTTCGAGAGGAGTTGGTGGTTGCCTGGAATGAGATACCACAGGAGGACATTGACCACCTGATCAAAAGCATGCCTAGGCGCGATGGAGAATGCGTAGCACATCAGGGTGCATCCATACATTATTAAAGGTCAAAGGGCTTTAAAGCAGTGCAATCATTTTGAAATTTTTATCATTTACTTATTATGCTTCATTAAGTACTTATACAAAATTTTATTAAAATAAAACCATTTAAACTGGGTGTTCGGATTTATATGTCACTTAGTATATATAAGAAGTAGCATGTTTTGAAACACAAAAACTACGAATTTAATGATAGAACTGTAAAAAATTGACTTATCTCAAGGGCACTTTGATCCTCACTTCAAACTATGAGAATAACGCTGACGATGACACAGAACGGTAGCAATCTAGGAGTATCAGAGTTTTTCTGAAGGAGAGGAAAGACTATGAAAATCAAGGAGGCCATAAAGGCGTCCTACAATTGTAGGAACGATTGACGATACGACACTAAGACAGAACAGGTTACAATAACATTTTTTTGCATTTCTCTGATTCTCACTCTTTGTAAATATGTTTTACACCTAGTAACTATATTGTCACTGTTATTCTGATATGTACTTCGAAAAAGGCCGTGATGTGTGGATTTATATGGCCTGAAAAACATAGATTTCGAACTAGTATTTTTTGAGTTCTTTCCTCCTTAACATAAGTGCTTCTGTTGTCTTGTTGCTACTACTGGAGCTTGACACCTGTAGGAAGACAGTTGTTCCTGCTATGCAATAAGGAACATCGCGTATTTCAATTTATTAGACATACGAATTTACTTTTAAAATACCTTTTATATTTCCCAAATATCCATCTCGATCCGTCACAAAAGTCGAATCCTTCAACACACCTGGAACATCACCGTACATCAAGCACCACTACAACCATAAATCACACTACAACCACCTTGACCTTGAATCCGAAACAACTGCCGGTCGCGTCGCGTTCCGGGTGACTCAGCGTCAAGCCGGACAGCTTATTCACAGCCACCCTTGATTGGGATTACGGGTAGTTTTGCGTAGAACAGCGCCAGCGGTTGAATCGTGGGTGGCTAATAAGCTTTGAGCTTTGCTGCAAGGAGGCTCGACAAGTGACTAACGCCGTACTCGCCCAGCACACGCAGCCTCCTCTTGAGGCCGTGCCACGGTCACGGCGCGCCACACTGTCGACTTCTTTTTGTTTTGGTCGGTCGCGGTCCATCTGGTTAACATGGGCGGACCTTAGGGGTGGGCTTGAACGATTAGGTATACAGTTTTAAAAATCTGTATTCCGGATGAAAGATGCGGTGCACAAGATCGTCAAAGACTCGGTTATATTAGCAACAACTTTGTGATGCACATTAATGATCAGTATGATAAACACGATCTACATGTTAGATGACAGAACTTTTTATGTGGGATTTCAAATTGCCGAACTGATCTCTGAGGAACAATAAAAGTAAATTGGAAATGAGTTCGCCTCTCACACGACCTGGAGGTTACCACAGCCTATGCATGTTAAAGCTTAACCATATTTGGTTTTGATGGGCAGTCGAGCCTTGTCAGGAAGATCTTCGTTGCGGATTGTCTGAAATAGTCTCTGCTTGCAATGTTGCTCACATGTCTGGAGAGCTCTGACTCCATTACTTTTACATGCTGAATGCACAGAAGATCAAACATGACTGACCTCCTCAATAGGCGATTCAACGCGCCGTTTTAGGCAGAAATTGTTTTAAACTGAAATGTTCATCAATTCGACAGTACATACTTTAAGTAAGCGATGTCAGTCCTTTCGTATTTTACTGTCGTTTTTACTTCCCATGCATATTGGCGAGGAAGTATTGTAATCGCCGTCGGTCTATCTGTGTGGCCGCTAATCCTTGGCCCGTACTTGGAAAGTAGAGGCTAGATTTTGATAAAATTTTCACACAAGGTTACTACTAAGAGAAAGGCGATAAATAAATTAACTTTGGTTTTAGTTTTTGAAGATCGGTGCAGTAGCGGCGGAGCTAGAGGCAGAAAAGGAGAAAACAAATCCCTCAAACTTTGTTTTTCGATGTTTCAGAGGCTCCTGATCATTTTTGAAAAATTTTATGAGGTAAAAAATTGGGGGTAGAGTGAGGATGTATCGCAGTTTGGATGTAAGAATATTAACACACCGGTAATTCTACGCACCTGTTAGAAATATTTCACACGTCATAGATTTACATTTACTCTTAAAACTTATAACGTTAGAGACATGTTTTCTGGACTCCATCTGTCTGGCTTCACCGGCCGGTGTACCGGTCTCCATAAGTGTCCTCGCGTGACTGGTGCTGTGCCACGGTGCCACATCTGACGCATTGTGCGATCAGGTATTCGGGAGAGGCGACGTTGCCAGATGACTAATTGTATGAACCTGTTTGGCGGACTTGATCCGTTTAATTTTTGTCACCAAAGACAGCCAACCACACACAGCTGTTTCGTCCTTTTTTGGCACCTCTCCAGGGTATCAGATCTGTGGTCTTTTATCTATAGTTAACCTACTTGACGTCATTTTTCATTTCGAATGCTGTTTTTCATATAAGTCAACGATTTGATTCTAAGCGCCTACATAAGGAGTTAGAGCGCGTTGATGAACAGAGAGAAAATGTTCTGTAGGAACCTGTGAAAACAGTTGATTCAAATGTGTTCTATCGAATATTACCTATGAGATCCGTCTGTAACTTATGTAGCAAATTACGTGGTCGTACGAAGAAAAGAAGACACCAACCAGCCAGAGCGTTGTCGAGACCGTCCCATCAGGAAGATCGAAGCAGATAAAATCCGTGCGTACCACGTCTGGTCTGGAGGAACCGACGCGGACGTCGCATGATACCAAGACCAAGCTGCAGCCAGCGGGGGCCGGGTACCATCGAAACCACCGCGCCGATACTGGTACTTGGTAGTAGAGATGGGTTTTTTTTGAACGAATCGTTACAAACGAACGATGAACGATGAAAAAATGGGAGAGAATGCACCTTTGGTGGAAATACTGGGCGAGACACTATCCAGCATGTTGAAATATCGCAAGTGAACGACTGGGAGTTCTAATATCGAGCTTTTCTCCCTGAGAAGAGAAAAAAAAGAGAAGATTCCGCAGTAAGAGTCAAGGGAATCGATTATTGATAAAAGTTTGGTCAATTCCCTTTGCCGAATAGTCCAGTTAAATAGCCGAAACTGCCGCAAAAGTGATAACACACCACATAGTTATTTCCGCTGGCTTAATGGTGAAGTAAAGGCTTGCGAATATCGTTGTATGAATTTGGTTTTCCGGAAACCAGCCGTTTTTGTAAACAGCGAAAAACCCAAAAACCTGAGGATATCTGGGATTTTTTACACGTAATTTCTCTAATTTTTAGGCCATCAAAAAAGGCCATCGTCAGTTCATAAATGATTATGTCAGCACAAGTTAGGCCCTCTGAGAAAAGATCAAGTTAGTCAAACAGGCCCCATTGTTATCCATATTTGTTTGATTTCATACTTCAATATCATATTACTTATAAACAGTTTTGTTCATATGATGTGCAAACAATACAGGGTGTCCGCAAAGTTGGGGTTTTCCTTTTCAGAAACAACTACCCTTGAAATAACAAAGGTAATGTGTAGTGAAACGAGGACGACCAAGTAAAAAAATAAAGGAAAAAGTACTCACTCTCCAGTTGACGAGAAGGTACGTCTCTGCCCGAAATCATACCGCTCCAACAGAAATGAAATCAGCTGATGCGCTACCGAGCAGACGCAGAAACCACATTGATTATCTTACACTTAATGGCACATCTTCTAACAAGGAAGGCAAAATTTTGCGTAAAAAGTCTAGGTATTGCATCCCGTCCAATAGGTTTGGGAGAATAATGGTCCAATGAGCATACCGTTCACATGCCAGCCTAAACATTCACCGAAAATGTTGTTGAAAATGTGCCCGACGGACAGCGTGCGGATTTCTACTGACCAAACATGAGGGTTGCGAAGTTATTCACCCCATTACGCGTGAACGTAGATTCGTCTGTCACCAATATGCACTTCAAAAAGTCCGGATTATTGTCATGTTGATGCAACAACCACTCACAAAACCGCACCCTTGCTGGAAAATCGTCAGGTTGAAGGGCTTGTACACGTTGGACGTGAAACGGATACAGCCTCTCTTCAGGCAGCGTTTGCCACACTTTAGTTTTTGATACTTCTCTAGCACGTCTCTAGTGCTTGTTGAGGGATTCTCGTCTACGCGATTACCTCTACACGCGTGACCGTAACCGTCCGTCGGTTGAAGGTTGCATACTGACCTGACACACTGACCCCGACCCAGTTCTGTCGTCGGGTTGAGCCAGTGACCTTGTACCAGTCGGTGATGTCGCGGCTACAGGGACGATATTCAGATATTTTAGATGTTGCAGAGCCCTTTATCTCGGTTCCTTAAGACATGGTGTATATGGTACTAAGAAAATTGTTTTCAAGATCTACACGTCGTGTAAAGGAAAACCCCAACTTTGCGGACACCCCTGTATATTGTCTTATAAAAAGAAAATAATTAATTTTGAACGTTACAAAAATAAACAAACTTTTACATAAAATTAGATAATGTCCGAACATTTTTGTGTTAAGGCTCGTAATGTTTCACTATACATAAAATTAGTCATCAAAATTCAATTCAATTTAGACTCATTTTTACTTAATCTTACTCTCAACTGATAACAGTAACTCGGCCCTCTACCCAACTAAGCAGGTACGCATGCATTAAAAGTACATATAAACGATATTCAATGCCCCAAGTTTTATCCCTCATAAAATAAGTAATGTCTGGAAGACCTGAGATCTTCCTTTATTCCGAGGAAGGAACCGAAACAAAAAAAATCGAATCACCAAATGAACCACTTGGCCCAGCTCCAGTGCATTCGTAGTACCCATCGACCATCCACTCTCGTTAGTATGAGTTATGCGCGATACTGCAGAGGCGGAACCATTTTTTTACAGGGAGGAATGCCACGCTCTGCCCACGCGGTACTCTCGAAGAGAAGGGTTTTGTTTGTTTTGCGTTGCCCGGTTGATGGGACGATTTATAACGCCAGTACTTGATGTCAGGCGCATGAACAGACCGCATTTGCCAAGCCCTGAAAAACACTGCTTAAAACTAGTACTTAAGTATTAGAGTACATATACTAAGTGACATATAAATCCGAACACCCAGTTTAAATGGTTTTATTTTAAAAGTTGGTGAATGTATTTATCTTACTGTAATAAGAAGTGAAAAATTTTCAGCCTTATCCGTTGGACATTCCGGTTTTATACTGCTTTTTTC